GCTCATCAGCCTGGAAGACATAAATGGGTTATTAGTCTTGCAGACTACCAAGACCACACACAAAATCAACAGGAGTATTTTAAAGACAAAGGCATATATTGTCACGAGAGTTCTTTGAGAATGCCACTGTCACTTCAACTTTCAGATATAACTTAGCTTAATTAAGATTAGATTTAGATTGATCTTGAGGTTTAATGTTTAGATTCAGATTGTCTCTGCAAATCAGAGGCAACTGAGAGATCAAAAGCAGCTAGTCTGTTTACTCAGATCAGCTATCATTGTTTGTCACTTCCTTTCTTAACATGTAGCAAAAAATTTAGAGCATAAGCCAACTCATAAATGTGTTCCCTTGTAGAAATGAAGAATGCATACTTAACACAAAGCACCAAGGCAAGGGGAAAAAAATTTCACTGGCCTTCTTATTATGAATACTTAGTAGCCACAGGGGTTTGTCAAAACGTAACAGGGGGAAGGTTTGAACGTACACTGGAGACATTAGCAAGACAGAAGCAATAAGAAAATAAAGAAACATAGATTTAAGATGTAATTTAAGGTGTGGTAAGCTTCCAACTGACCTCTGATAGTCTAGGGCTGATGTCAAACAAAGAGCAGCCTGCAATACTTTGCTATTAACTATAGTTTGACTCCCCATCGCATCCTCCACAACATTTGCAACTCCCAGGATTCCTCCCCTCCTCTGCTGAGATTGACAAGCAGCACACTGAAGTGAGTGCCTACTACTTACAATATGTGGAATGACAAAACTAACACACCCAGACCTCATCTGCACTCGGTGGTGCGTCAGTAGACAGTTATGAAGTTGGTAGGCAAGTACAAGATGCGTCAAAAGACTTGTAGTTCACTGTGTCAATACAAAATTCCCATAAATACTTACAGAGATACGAGAGCCAGCTCTTGCCCTTGCTACAGTCTCTTTTTCTTTCTCTGACACTCGCCTCTGTATTGCCTGGAAGTTATTTAAGGCCGCGGAGAAGTCATTCATTAAACGTTCTTTCTGAAGCCTCTGTTGGCGCTAGAGAATTGAAACAAAAACAAGTGTTCAGACATTCCCATTCATGATAATGTAACTGTCAGACTCTCTAAAGATCATCATCATCATCACAACAACACTGAATGCTGGCATTCAAGTAAGCTTTTGGTTCCAGCATTCTGGGACACTGGAGAGAAAAAAAGCCCACCACATTTGAATTCATTTTACCAAATGCTCTACACCATGCCTACTGCAGAACAGTTTTGTGCAATAAGGTTCTCTAATTTCAGTCTAGCTTTAAGGTGAAAGTAGAGAGGTCTTCTACACCATTATTTTTATTCAAATCCCATTCCAGTAATCTACTACATTTAATTACATACCTCTTAGATACCTACAATGCCTTTACCCTCCATTCCTCTACTTAGCCAACCTGGTAGTACTTAACTTTCTCTTGTTCTGATAAGACAGCCCCTGTAACTTTCTTACAAATACAGAAAGCCCCACATTTCCAGAACTGGCGACATCATCATTTACCCCAGTTTCAGAAGCTGTCTCTTCCAGCCATGCCATACAGCAAGCCTGCTGTTATTTGATCAGAGAATACTCTTAGTCCTGATAACAATTCCAGTTTATCTTTTCTGCAAATACATTAGTTGTAATATTCCTTTTCATCCTCATTTTACAGTATCATTTTTAGCCTCCACAGAACATCTCCTTGAAGTGCTGTGACATCCCAGATATGGGAAACAAGAAGTTATGAAAAAGCTTGTCCCAAGGACATTTGATATTATGGCCAGTTCTTATGTTTTCCATTAAAAAGATTCCCAACAGCCATCTCAAATTGCAGGCTTTCCAGTATTGTAAACCTTCAACGAGTTTGTATCAATTCAACACCCATTTAAAGGAAATAAAGGTTTTCAATTCTTTTTTTCTATAATAAGCCACTATAGCAGCCTCACAACACACTGCAGCTTCCATCTGAAAGCAAGAACCCTTCTACCAGAGGAGATCCTCAGCACATTGGTGCCAGCTCCTGCAGGTTTTGACTGGACTGCTCCAACAGGCTTCACTAGGCTGCAAAAGTCACCACTGCATTCAGTGAGACACATATGACAGGATTTTGCTCCCCCCAAAAATATTTGCTGTACGAAAGGTAAAACGTGGCCACGCTTACAACTGGCATATAAACCTTTAAATACAGAATTAGACTAAGACAACATCTGCTGACCCATATCCACAGCAGTATCACAAAAGCAGATATGTCAGTATTGTGGTAGTGATTTGAAGGAGAGCAAGAAAATGTCAACAGCAGGGGACAGTCCCTTCCCTTTCCCATAGGGAGAGGGAAATCAAAGGACTATTTGGCAAGAAAGAAAGTCATAGTCATTGCCTCACTATACTCTGCTTTATTAAAATATGAGCAAGGTGAGTCAGCTTTTTCCCCTGCTGCCAATAAATCACATACAAGGGAAAGCTTTTTGGCATGATCACATTTCCTATTGACATGCAGTTTGCTATGAGTTCTTATACTCAAACACTGCCTTGTATCACCAGGCACTTTGTAAACAGTATTATTTTTCAGAAGTTTACTCAGAAAAACAGAATTGCATACTCAGCTCTACCGAAACATTTAGGGCTTCTTATTCTCATTGAGTAAGTTTTATACCTATTTGCCCCTGGGAAACATTGCTTCCCCAGTGTCACATAAGGAGCCAGGATGTAGCCAGTTTAATGTGTTTCCCTACTTCAACAACATTCTTCATTGCAAAACACTCCTCCTGTCTCCTCAGCTGTGCCAATTCAAGCTTTGCGAGGTTGTGCTCTAAGCTGTTTTATGAAATGACTAATTTAAAAATACATCCAAACAAATTCTCTGTGCCTACCTGTTCAGAAGCAGACAGAGGAAGTGGTAGAGACCCCAGCTCCTTTAGATATTCATTGGTCTCTTTGGCAAGGCGGTTTGCAGAATGCTGTAGCTGTTGTCTGAAATGAAAATCCCAAAGCAGTTACACATGCTTCTACCTAAAAAGCAGTTTCTGAGCATTTCTGTTTCCAAAATAATGACCAAGTATGGGTTCTGAGATCACACATCTTTATGGTGATATTTTTTTTTTCACCCTAAAGGAAAAGATGTACTTTTAGCTTTTATTATCAACTTGACTCTGGACTACATTTTAAAAAAGATTTGGAGAAGTTCTGTGCTCCATGTTAATTAGTCAAATTCAGCAGTTTTAAAAAAGATATTTCTCTCCAATGGCATACGAGAGCAAAATTGAAGAGAGAAACAGCTTTATTCAGTGAACATAATCACTCTTTTAGGGTGAATTCCTTGTGGTACCAATTGGTAACTTACTGCTCGCTTGACAACCACCAAATCCAGTGGTTAAATGTACATTTGATAAAAGTACAGAGACTTGGAGATATTAATTTCTTCCATTTTTGTGAAAATTAATGGTCAGAGACAGGAATGATCCATCTTCTACTTTGGGAAATGCAAGGCTTTTCCTTGAGCCTTTATGTTTTCCAGCAACATTGCAATTCAAAGCTATTGTTGCAAAGGATCTAGTGCAGTAGCACTTTCATTAGTACCACAATACAGAAAGACATTAGTTACATTGAAATTAATGTAAAGACATCATCTTGTACATCAAAGATGCAGTTTATTAGAAAGAATGCTAGTGCTACACAGAGAAAAGAGCCACAAGTTTTATTCTGCAGCACAAGAACTAATACTGTAAACCAGGAAGACACAAAATACTAAAACAAGAAACATTTTTTTTGGCATTCAGTGGATACAAGATGCTCAAGTGAAAGTCAGAGATTCAAGGTACAGTCACATGAACAGATAATGGAAGAACTTACTTTCAAGTTTTCTTTTATGACTCCAGAAAATAGTCTTCTCCTAACTTGCTATTTATGCTTTACAAGTTTGTAAAAGATGCACAGACTCCCTGCTCAGTCTCTCTAGGAGTCAGTTTGGACTACGCTTGTTTAAATGTCTTCTATATTGTTAAATGTCTTCTAATGACTCTTGTTTAAATGTCTTCTATATTGTTCCCTGCTGGCATATTATTCTTCTGAAATTACATGTGACATTTTGGCTGCGATATAGGACTGCTAATCATTCTAGTGCCTAAATCTATCTGTACTACAACCTCCATTTTCACCAGTTATGGGTCTTCCTTGCTGTTCTTCCTTATTGCTGTTATGTGAGGACCAGGTACCTAGCATGACATTCATTTATTTTAAACCACAAGTGAAGCTACTATGGCTACTCCTCAGAGTACAGCTAATGCATGGCTGATGTACTACTACCCTTTTAAAATAAACTGTACCATTTCTAACCATTCAGATCCAGCAGTTTTCAATGGCTTCTCCAGAGTCCTGCAGAAATACCTTAATTTGTCCAGTAAGTTACATAACACAGCTAGTCATTTTTGGTTTGCAGGACTGCATTAAATTTATCTAACAAAGCACCTCCCCAAAGCAAGTAACCCAGTTCCTCCAAGAATACAGACAGAAATGAACGAGAACCTATACACGTTAGCTCATTCAATACTTACAAGTTCTCCTGAAGCTTGCTGGAATCCTGCTTGGTTCCCAGCTGGCTCATCAAATTCTTTATTTGAGCAGCTGAAGATAAAGAGATCACAAGACAAGTCAGTAAGACCAGTTCTAATGTATTTTATTCCTTCTCGAACATATTCCTCTAGCTTTCCCCAAAAGATTTTTCTCGATGTTTGACTTAAGGTGGTAAGACAACACTTATATTCTTTGCTTTCAATGCAAAGTGTATTTTAAATTTCCCCATTTAGACATGATTCAGACTAACAGACTAACTTTCAGATAAGAAAGTGATAGTGAGGCATACATACCCCGAAGACAAGTCTGTAGAGCTAAAAGCTCATGCACTCCTCTTCCTCAACCTTTTTAGACAAACTAACACAGCTGGCTGTTTCTACCAGCCTTGCTGTTTCTGTATTTTAGGCTATCACTGCTGCAGAACAACTGTACTATGCTGTGTTGCCACTTTTACACATTCTAATGTTACTTAAATTATTAGTGCTCTGTTAAAAAGAAAAAAAAAAAGCCAAGGGTTGCTATCAGTTAAAAAAAAATAAAAATCTGAACTTTTTCTACTCATGATAGACCCAAACCTTTCACAATACTGGCACAAACAATCTTTCAGGAACAGCAGATAGCAATGATGCACTTCATGGTGAACTTGCACCAATCTGAAATCATGATGTAGCAAGAAGAGATGCTAGCCCTCTTTCTTCCCCATCTCCTATTGTTTTCCATTATTTTCCTTATGTAGGCACTAGTGATGATGCAACCACACAATTAATCACATCAAACCGTAACCTACCTGAAAAGCAATTACCACCTTCTCCCCTTAGAAGATTTTTTTTTTTGACAAATCAACAAGCTGATCCACTTTATTCTGCAGCTGCACAATTTTTAACATCACCAAAGATGCTGGGCACACCACTTACGACAGCAGTACAGTGTTTGATTGGCTACAATTGATTGTGTGCTATCCCACTAAACATGGAGAGAGGCAAGAGCAAGGAGGAGCAACTTAGAGTTCTACAGGCACCTGTAAGGAGTTTAAATACCCAGTAAGTTCAACAAGAGCTACTTCCAATTCAGGGGCATCCTACTGGTGTAATTTCTGCTTTCAGCCTGGAAGGAGCCACTTCAGTTGATTAAATGTGTTGCTGAAGGAACATCAGATTCCTACAAAGGCCACTTCTTTTAAAGTGATGTCCAATGGCTTCTAACAGTGGCAGCTCAGCTCAGGCTGCGATGTGATTTAATCAGTAATTAGGCAAGTACTCTTGCTTTTGCATCCAGTTCAAGTATTGTCCCTGAGAATCCGAGACTTCTACTAGCTCACACAGCCAGGAGTTGTTTAGCAACTCCTTATACACTGAGCTGAACATGGCTTCTAGCAAGCAAGACTGCACATATTTCACAGCTCTGTCAGCCACAGGAAGGTCAGAAAAGTTCACAGTCAAGTTAAACTGACAAACAGCACAAGGACCACGCATGCAGATTCCCAGGACTTTGCAAATGGCATTTGTGCTGTGCTGCCCAGATACTCTGCGATGCATTTTTTTCTCCACTGGGGAAGATTCTTACACCAACTCCTTTCCACACCAGGTGATGTGCTTTTTGTCCTGGTCTGAGCCAGGTTCAGCTGTTTGCTATGCTCAGTTTATTTCAGCCAACAGCAATGCACTGAGTCTCCACAAAATGAAAGCAAAGCATCTGGGAGGACAAAGGAAGTGGCTGGAGCTCTTTACCTTTATTCTTTGGATAGCAGGTACACACATTAACACAGAGAGCCCCCTCAGTCAATAGCTTTCAGTCTCCAAACCCTGTCAATTTTAGGCTGTAAAGCCTTCCACATACTGGCCATTTTACTCATAAGATAACTTAAAACATTTCCATTTCTGCTCTAGATGCCTAGGTAATGTAACAAGTCTTGCAAGCAACAGTTTTGCCAGCTTAGGTCACCAGTTTCCTTACGTTTTGTGTGAAATGCTAACTCAGTAGAGTTACCCAAAAAGAGTGAATAACAGTCAGCTGCATTCACTGCTTGCTGTTTTCCCTATGGGGAATCAAAGAAGAAATGAGGGCAGGCTTAAGGCTTCAATAACTCAGCTCCTCCTGGGCTTGAATGGAAAGCTTTTATAAAATGTGTAATAAAGTTAATCACCATAATGTTAAGTCAGATGTTCTGTGTGTTCCCACCCACTTGATAAAAACCACGAGGCTATTTGTTTCACGTGAGATCAGCAGCGTGCCGAGATAGGATGGCTGCTGGTCACGAGAGAGGGGAAGGTTGTCCTATGAGAAAGAGAAGCTGAACTACTTGGAACTACCTGGAAGGGTAAGCTCCCAGTGAAAAACTCCAGACATCTACTCGTATTAATTGGTGAACTTAGAAGCAATTCAACTGGCAACCACGCCTATACCAAAAGGAAATGAATGTGACTGAGCAAAAGCAAAGCAGTTTCAGGAATATTAATAGCTTAGTATAATTGAACTGGAGAAGTCACCAACTTTCAGAGGAACTTACATGTTCAACTGATCTTGCCCCTAAAAAATTGCTGCGGTATGTGGACAAATAATGTCTTTTTTAGCAAAGGCAGTATCCTTAGGAAGGGTTTATTTCAAAGACTCTTTTGGAAGTGACTCATTTAGTAAGCAGTATTTCAGCGATCAATATTAGGACTTTAATGATCAGCTTATAATACCGATAACTTTCTCTAACAACAACCATATGACCAAGAAACTGCAACTGTTATTTAGTTAAACCATAACCCGCTCGGCAGCCAAACGCTTCCCTGGGGAACTCTGCCAGCAGATTTAAGAGGAAATGGGTAAGTTACCATCAGCCTCAGAACCCCCTGCGGCAGCAGCTGCCCCCAGACGCCCCGCGCAAGGCAGAGTGACAACCTTTGGGTCCCTGCGCCCACTGAAGCGCCTCAAGGCGAGGGGGAAGCCAGGCTCTGGCCAGGGGCAAGGGAGGGTTTCCGTTCCGCAGAGGGAAGCACAGCTCGGTAAAGATGAGACAAACATCGCACCCAAAGCGACCGGGCGCGCTCGGCCCA